TTATCTTCAACCATAACAAGGGATTAAAATGTCTAGCACGGTAAGTGCTGAGCCAAGTTCAAGCACACACTAAAAATAAATGATCAAAACTATAGATTCATCAAAATAGCACGTAGGGGCGAAAAGGCGAGACTTAATAAAACAAAAAGGTAAACCTAAAAATACTTGAAATATCGAGCCTTGAAAACGCTCTACAACACTTATTTTAGTTCGGTTCTGGCTCATTTTCGTTAAATTATCGTATGTTCACGTTAATTTCATGAATGTCCGATTGCGTGTGTGTTTATTTTGTCTGGGAGAATGACTCGCTTGTCATCTATTATGTGATTGCGTGACTGTGTGTGGCTTGCGGTTTTATGCAAATTTCAATCAGACAGAATGAATGATGATGTAATCAAGCGAAGGTAACGTGAAGGTAACGCGTCGGTCTCGCGTGTAAGGTCTCGCGTGTAACCACAAACAATGGGATGATCACGTGCAAAACAAAAGAAACATTCCACAGCACCCTAGTAACCGGGGAGTCGGAAACTGGCCTCAAAATTTTCTCTCCACCCCCTCCGTTGCTAGGGGTCTCTGGAATGTAATGTATTGTCTTTCACGTGATTCATTGTATCTAAAATGGTACCTCGCGATTCGCGCTACACGTTCTATTGATTGTAAGTAGTACCTCGTGATTATGATGTAGTACCTCGTGATTACGATGTAATAAAAAACCTGAGCGCTTGCGAAATAGCTTCATAACCGACAATGAGTAATATGGAGAGTGAGAATATGCAATTCGACGATACCGATCTAATTTTTGAACAACCAACAATACAAGTTCCACATCAGAAACCTGTGGAATCAATAACGGACTTTCTTCAAAAGATCATACAGAAAGATTCAATTCCTAAAGAAGAACTTAGGAAAAGGTGGATTAACATCAAATCTGAGCGAGAAAAGATGTTGAAACAGTGGAACAAATCGAGGGAACAAGTCGCCTATTGGATATCAAAGACCAAGGAATTGGAATACCATCTTAACAGAAGCGCTGAAGAACTTGAACGACTGCGTGGCAGAATGGTTGCAGATTGCGAAGAGAAAAGATGGTGGCGTAAAATGGGGTTGCAGATTGCCTGGAGTGAAGATAACAAGAGTTTTTTCGTAACGTGACTCGCGTTACGAATCGATAGACTGTTGCTATCACATATTACTCATTATTGGTTATCCTTCTCCTCATGGAGTCGTAAACGTCCGCTTTTTCATAAGCTAGGCGTTCTGATGAGGCTTGATATTAGCCGAAACGACTCATATCGTCACGTTTTTTTTTCTATGTAAAGTAGTACCTCGTGATTCGCGCGACACGTTGCAATAATAAAACCTAAGCGCGTGTGAAATCAAAAAAATTAATATTGCTTACTAACAAATATGGATGTTGAAGCATTTAAGAGAAACCTTGATCTTAAACTCCAAAACGATCGGAAACCGCAAAGGCAAATTATTTTAATTTTTATTCGGAACTCAGCGCTGCTACTACACGTTATGCTGAGTTTGAGGTGTGGCGCCGTAAGAGATGGCAAACACCTGCAGCCATTTTCGAAATTCTAATTAAAAGTAGAAATTCATTTTTTTAAATCGACGTCTTCCGTGGTTTCGCCGTCCTGACTGCTTAATTAAGGTCCCTAATATCATCTTTAGGACGTCACTGGGTCCTTTGCCTTATACTGTGGATTAAAATTCCAAAATTTATCCTACGGAAACGTAAAAGCTACTTCTTAACCCAAAGACTAGGGTAAACACGCGTTAGACTTAACAAAGCTCTTTAATAAGTTTTAAGAGACATTCCTTGTGTAAAATTTCAGTGTCTCGAGTCCAGTTCCAGATTTTACACTTTTTATGGGGTGTTGCGTGATATTAGGGACTTTACGAAACCACGACGGCGACGCCAAGGAAGACTTCGATAAAAAAATGAATTTCTACTCTTAGTTAGAATTTCAAAAATGGCTGCAGGAGGTTACTGTCTCATACAGTGCCANACCTACCTACCTACCTACCGACCTAACTACTTCCCTAACTACCGACCTTAGTATAAGTAGACCTTTTTTTGGTTTTGTACCATAAAGCAACTTCCATTCCCCTGAATGGGATACCAATCTCATGCCAGGTATCCTTCTAAGTGATATATGCAACGATATTCAACTTCGATTCAACGGCTGGAAGATTTGGAAATCTTAAAGATCATCATGACGAGGGAAAAATCGATTATTTTCTACCTTTGGGACGAGGGATAACATCATTTATTACACGACTAGGGCAGTCAGAGGGCCAATAACTAAAATAAAACAATCAAAATGCTCTATTGCCGGTCAATATTCTCTCAGTATTGGACCGCACACTGTCCCGAATGGTCCCGAATGATACCGCACTTGTGTCCCTATGAAGTTCAGTCGTATAATAAATCTCTTATTAATCAAGCTTGCTCGGGACCGTAATGGAAGAAAATCGGCCATCGGTCTTTTTTGTACGGATCGAGCGCAGCGAGGTCCGTACTGTCAAGACCTCGGGCCGATATTCTCCCAGTACGGCCCTCGCGCTTGGTTAATAAGATACATGAAGCGCTAAAGAACGACAGGAGGGTTGCAAATAACATAAAGTTAAAGAGAAAAATTGAAAAGGAAATTCCCACCGTTTGCATAAAGTGTAAGTAACAAGAGAGCCAGCAATGCTCCAGGTATTGAGGTCGACATCTGAAAAAAAGCGGTAACAAGTACCTGTAGCTTCAAATTATCTGCAAATGTTTTTAGGATCATTCATTGACAGCCTGAACAACAATTTACGAACTATTTTAAAAAAGAACCGAAGCTTTTCAATGTTGTTCATAGGTTCCCTTTTTGTGGATCATTTGATGTGGATACTTAATTTCCTGAAAATGATATGCTTGGCAGTCTAGTCAAAAAGAATATTTTGGCAAAAAAAGTCATCGTTGATTCATAATCAGAAATTCTCAACAGAACTACAGTAAAAATAATGAGTAAAAGCCTTTTTTTTTAGAAGTCCCAAGGGTCAGAATGTTAAAAACTTTTCCAATTCCGAGTCCACGTAACAATCTCCAATACCGCATTTATGTATTAGTGACGTCGTCGTTATTTTGAAATGGTTTCTCGTGAGGAATATCGCCTTTAAGGGGACAGTCGTCCCTGATCAGAAATATTTGTTCATTAGGACTACTTCTCTCAGAACCCAGCCATACCTGGTGTAGTAACTTTTGTTTAAGGACAACTTTCCTGTCTCCCACGTATTGCAACTGATGTAATCACCCTGTGTTAAGATAATCTTGTCAATGCCTTGTCCGACTCTTGTAAAACGGTTTCTTCTGTTGTGCGCGAAATTCAGATAAATTATTTAACGGACATGTCACTGATAAAATGCACCTGCCAATAAAAAACTGAATTAGTTATGATGAAATTTGAAAGATAAAGAAATGTGTTAAAAATTCTTGGGTTTGGCAGACATGAACGCTGTTTTTACTAGAAGTGCATGCTCTGTTCCTCTTAAAAAATATGACTAAGTACTGAAACTGGCCTATTCGAAGTTGATTAAATAATAATAATAATAATAATAATAATAATAATTTACATTTCTAAAGCGCTAAAATTATAAAATATTCTAAAGCGCTTTACAACATTATTAACTACAAATATTAAAATGATAAACGACAAAATATCAAAACAAACTGTAAGCCAGCTTGAATAGATGTGTCTTAAGCTTTGACTTAAAAATCGTTACACTTGGACTGTTTCGAATTTCAAGCGGCAGTTCGTTCCACAAAAAAGGTCCAGAACGGGCAAAGGCACGATCACCAAAGGTCTTAAAGTTAGTTCTTGGGACCTTAAGGAGACCCTGATCGCAGGAACGTAGCTGATGACCCTTGACACTGTGTGGCTGCAGATATTCTTTTATGTATAGTGGGCCTTGGTTATTTAAAGCTTTATAAATTAAAAGTAACAACTTAAAATGGACGCGATAAGCCACAGGAAGCCAGTGAAGATTATATAAGGCGGACGAGATGTGGTGAAACTTGGGAATCCTAAAAATTAGTCGAGCAGCGGCGTTAAGCACCTTCTGAAGACGCTCTGTCTGGTACTTGGGTACGCCAAATAAAAGGGAGTTGCAATAGTCTAAATGCGAAGTCACAAATGCGTGAACAAGAGTCTTCGTGGACTCAGGACTGAGGAATTTCCTAATTTGGCGAATTTTATACAATCCATGAAAAGCTTTGCTGCAGATCTTACCAATGTGAATGGACATGGACATATTGGAGTCAAACCAGGAACCCAGGTTTCGAACACTGTTGAGAGGCTGAATGGTAGAATTACCGACTGTGATGGAATCAATTGCGATTTTTGATAATTGATGGCGGGAACCAACAACTAAGAATTCGGTTTTAGAATCGTTAATTAACAGGCGATTATAAATCAACCATGAGCGGACATCCTGCCTGTCGTCAGACTTCCGTGCAGCAACAAGTGCATCTTTGTAGTTTTCTTTACATGAATTTGTCCACTCTTTGTACATCGGTGTTGGAAAAGGAGTAAACTTTGAAAGCATGTAGCTGCTAAGAATACGACAAAGTCTTCCATTCCCATCTGAGAATGGATGTAGATCTAAAAATTCAAAAAGAAACCAGGCACAGGTTTTGAACAAACAGTACAAGTCGTCAGAATCTTCGAGGCCACCTTTGATACAATGATCGAACATAATATTGCATTGGTCTAACAACTTGTACACTGCACTTTCCATGTCCTCTGGTTTTTCATACTCGTATTCTTCTCCTTTGTATTCAGTTTTCCGAGAGCAGTTGCTGAATATTCCTGGTTTTGCATAGCCTTCTGGAATTTCAATGTCTTTCATAAGCTTTTCATGCGTTTCTCTGAGTAAATTGACTTCCATAAGGCCGTAATCACTCGGTTCTTCTTCACCATTGATTCTTGCTAACAAATGTTCGTAGGCGTTCCCTAAGTTCAGAGTTTCTTGTTCTCTCATGGAGAGACGGCGTTGCGAATTACCGCCTCTTGCGTAAAAATGTGTTAAAAATTCATCAGTTTCTTCAAACGTTGAAAAACCACTTTCCTCCTCCATGTTCACATGGAAAATAAATTCGACAAGAAACTCCTTTTGGACTTTGTTAATTAACTTTTCGTCGTATCTATCTTTCATTTCTTCCCACTTTTTAACATGACTCAGTATTTCTGCTATCATCTCCTCGATTGAAATATCTTCTTTTTTACCCCACTTGGGAATTTCAATCGCCTCAAAAGGTAAGTATTGTGAAAGCCGTCTCTTTCTGTTCTCACCATCGGTACTTCCGTGTGCTTCCTCCGAGGCCATATTTTCTCCTCGTGCATATCAGCTGGAGCGACAGGGACGAAAAACTTCTGCACATGCGTGGCGTGAGCATGTTGATGTTGTTGGTGATGGGCGAGTTGTTCGATCGTCTGATCAACGAAATGTCGGCGCAATTTAAACTGTTTATTCGTGGATATATTTTTCCTTTCATACTGGAATGTAAGGACGCTGTTTGAAAATAACTTCTGTAACCTGAACTCATCGACATGTTGAACGTATTATTTTTGGGAAATGTTTATTTGCTTGCTCAAGAGCCAACTTTCAAAACTGTCGAAACATGTCTTTTAAACTTAAAAGTTTTGTCGTTTTCTTTAAATTTCAGAACTCGGAAAGGAAACACATTGCAAGCTTAGTTTCTTTGATTATAATTTACCTCCACTTTAGATGACACGCCAAGATTAAATTTGATAGAAGGTAAGTAATACCATGCTTTGGTAATAAATGTGAATCTCGAAGAAAAATGGAACTTATATTTTTATTTAGGCGAAGCGAAAGCACACTCTTCCTACACGGTGTTACATGAACAATTGCAAATCAAAAACGCTGCAAAATATCGCGTTACCCCATGCATATCGCTCTCACTGAAACTTAAAATTCGTTACAGTCCTAAGAGTGTATTGAAAATAGTTATTTCCATATGGTATGAGAGGAACTATGAATGCTGCTACTCAGCAAAAGCCACATGAAATCGGCATATAGTATTTGCTGGACTGGACTGGACTGGACTGGACTGGACTGGACTAGTAAAACGCGGACTAGTAAAACGCGGACTAGTAAAACGCGGACTAGTAAAACGCGGACTAGTAAAACGCGGACTAGTAGAACGCGGACTAGTAAAACGCAGACTAGTAAAACGCAGACTAGTAAAACGCGGACTAGTAAAACGCGGACTAGTAAAACGCGGACTAGTAAAACGCGGACTAGTAAAACGCGGACTAGTAAAACGCGGACTAGTAAAACGCGGACTAGTAAAACGCGGACTAGTAAAACGCGGACTAGTAAAACGCGGACTAGTAAAACGCGGACTAGTAAAACGCGGACTAGTAAAACGCGGACTAGTAAAACGCGGACTAGTAAAACGCGGACTAGTAAAACGCGGACTAGTAAAACGCGGACTAGTAAAACGCGGACTAGTAAAACGA